TATATATAGAGAGAGAGAGAGAGAGAGAGAGAGAGAGAGAGAGAGAGATGTCCATTCCATTATTATAATTCTTCAAAAGATTTATAATAAATCCAAAAAAAATAGATTTACTAATGATTTATCTATCACTTTAAAGATCCCTAATTTATAGAGATTCATGTAAGGAATGCACTTATTTCCTAAATAATTTGGATAAGATTCAAATTAATTCCTAAATAATTTTTTTAAAAAAAAAATCTTAAAATAGTATGTAATAAATGTTTTCCTAAATTTTTGGATTACTATTTTTAGTAAATAGTAATTCATTTTATATAGATATAGATATTTATATATAGTCATGAAGTCAATGTCTAATTAAATTATAAAACAATTGATTTACCAAATCAAAAATTACAATTTCTACTAAAAAAATCTAAAAATTCTCTAAGGGGGATTTATTTATTCTGAAAAAAAAAAAAATTGCCCACATCTCTAAACCACAACAAATATTATATTTTTCATTAATAGTCTAAAAATATCATAGTAAAAAAAATTTGTTCCAGATTATTTTTTAAAATATCAAATTAGTCTTAAGAAACTTTTAGAGATGTCATGTAAGTGGTTATATAAGAATGATAGGTAAGGAATGAGGTAGTATAAAACAATAATGTATTTTTCGTTAAATAATTAAGTATTTTTTATAAACATTATTTGTCAAATCTTATTTTCTTGCACAATATCATTCTATATATTTTCTTATTTTTATAATACAATGTTCGAATTTAAAAAATTTATATTGAATTTTATTCAAATATTGACAAATTTGGTTAATGAAGAATTAATAAATCAGTATGAAGTAATCTCTTTCAAATAAGTTTTGAAGATCTCGAGAATCAAGAAAAAATAACGTGGATCTTCGTATTTTTGTATTTTGTATTAGCGCAATTCATTCATGCTACATACACTAAACTTAAATGTATGCTAAATGCTTTAAACTTTTGAAAAAAAAAAAAAATTGTGAGTATCATACATGTAATTAGTCAGAACCAAAATATCTAATTTTTTTTGTTGGTGTCAATATTATTTTCTTCTCGACAATTCGCATAGAAAATTAAAAACCTTAACCGTTCACATTTTCATCATATCATTTTGTTACATATTCGTATTATTTATGAAACGTATATTTTTAACTCGAGTGCGCAAACGTGGTAAACAACGTAAATAGCGGAAGCAATAAACCGAAGATGTAAAAACTCTTCAGGGAAGCGTCCCACTTCCCTTCAGAGCTCTTTCATTGATAAACCGTTGAACACTTGTATAGTTTGAATGATCACTGTACTTAATCCCTAAGTACTGATCACAAAAGTGTTTGAATGAAATTAAGAAAAAGAAACTAAACAGCTTCAGTTCTTGGATGCGTAAGAACCCTTGAACTGAACTGTGAACAAAATAAAACTAAAAAGGCTTGAAGCTCGAATATTGAATGGAAGATCATTATTTCAGCGGCATGTCTTCGATCTTCACGCAGGGTATATATACAACTCCTTAAGGTGGAGTCTTCTCCAAGCTCTTCCTTTCCTTTTAGGAGTCAATTTCCTTCCCAATTGATTGCTTTCTGATTTGAACGAAATTCTTCATGTAAGGTAAGTTTCTTTGATGTGGAATTCGTGCATGTGATTTGGAGATATTCAGAAATGAACTTCTAATGGAAATCTTGCTTTCCAGAATCTGGTAAGAACACGACTTTCAAAAAATAACCGATCTTCCAAATCTTCAAAGATCTTGTGGTGAATCTTTCCAAATCCTCCTTAGATCTTCTCATGAACGTCCAGAACTCTTCTTGTATGAAAAGCTCATCCTTTCATAGTCTTTGTCATCTATTCCTTGTCCTACAAGCAAAAGAGAACTAATTATGGCATGTGGTATATATGGTAAGTAAATATATAGGAAACACTTAGATTTGTCGGACATGATGCCAAACCAATGTTCTTACAATTTAGTCAATGGTACGCTACATAAGTTCTTGTCCTCTACGACGCATCCATTCCTCTTTTACTTATAATATTTTATTTTTTCTTTAATTTCGTTTGGATTTTTCTGGGTTGTGACCAAATTTTTGGCCATATGAACTTGTATAAATCTCCACCGCACAAACCCAATTTTGTTTTTATGCACGAAAATCATGACCATAATATAGATATCCTCATAAATATAACATCACATGGATAATCCGTTACCAGACACTTAATTAATGATGGAAGGTATAACTTCCTTTCCAATTCTAATAAAGTAAAGCATAATTTAAGCATTAATTTGTCACGATATTAAGAAAATTCGTGGCTAAATAATCTACACCTACCATTTGTTTATAAAATTTATAGGATACACATTATTTTATTCAAATTATTTTTGAAAAAAAAAAATTACACCAAAGAAAATGATTGGTCGTGATGAGAGTAAACGAAACAAGATAAACAAATGCATGATATTTCAAAAAATAGGTATAAATATCTAATTCAAAAAAGAGTATAACGGTCAATTTGCCTAATGGTTAGACAGACTCACACAACAATTTTTTTGTACATACGCCTTGAATATTAAGAAAATTCAGATATAGGGAGCCATCAAATAGTGTCATAACAACAATTTTTTTGTACATACGCCCTTGGATATTAAGAAAAATCAGATATGAAATGTTATGGAGCCATCAAATAGTTTATTTATGAAGTCACCTATAATTTTATGTATTGACATGTGTCCAATGTGTATTTATTCCAGGACACGTGTCAATACCCAATTTGTGAATAACTATGAATGTCTCCATTAACTGCAGAAATTCTATGGCACCACATGTGGCACCATATTATGGTGCCACAACATGATGTGGCACATTATGATTGGTACCACAACATGATGTGTGATAGTTATGACACCAATCATAATGTGTCACATCATGTTGTGGCACTATATTATGGTGTCACATGTGGTGCCATAGAATTTCTGCCATTAACTGTGACCATACGATGACTCTATAGCAAAACCGTGAAATCTACTAAAAAGTAATGACGTTCGATCAGCCTAACGGTTAGACATCATCACTCAAAAAAAGTGCATTAATTTGAAGAGAAAACAATAACAAATTGCATTAGAAGCTAAAACTGTAGTATGCAAATGATGAATATATTCAATGAAGTAATGAACTGTGATATCTTTTTTTTTATTAAAAAAAAAAAACAATGATCAATCACAATTCATCAATTTCTAGAACTGATTGTATATATAACCCACATACTTATTACACATACGATGATGATATAATTAATCAAAAGGTGTAGCTTCTGGTCTTGGGCGAATCAGCGATTTTGAGAGTGTCGTGAATTAGCTTTCGCGCTTTTCGGCTCCTCAGTTCGATTCTCATGCTCTCGCTCTTTTCAATCTTGTCGTAATCGCTGCAGGCCTTCCTCGACGTTATCTTCATGGACTTGAGCTTGGATTTCAGGCCCATCATCAATCTTTCCAGGCCCAACAGCATCACCATTATAGTATCTCGATCGGTCGGTTTTCTTATCCAGAAAATTAGATTAATCAATATAATTAAACGGATAAACAAAAAAAGGTTAAAGCAAAGAAAATCGGCATTAATTAAAATCTGGAATTATGCTGACCTCGTAAGCTCAGAAGGTCTGAAATTATTATGAATTAGAAGAAATTGTAGCACCGTTTGTATGGATAGAGATGAGAGGAGAGAGAGTTTGGTATGAAATTTTAAGAACAAATAACAATATATGATGAGGAAAAGGACTTGGGGGCAAAATAACAAAAATTGTGTTCTGTAATTTTATCCATGGAGGTGGGCCCAAGGAGACTGTAGGTCACTGAAAGTTAAAGCTAAAGATATAAATTAATACCCACAATTGTTAGACTTAAATGGTAAACAACTTGATGTCGCTTAAGCAAAGTCTCCGGTTCGAGTTTTTGTGGATGCAGAAAATCCTTGTTGGGAGACTCACCCACCACTGTCGGGTGTACGATCTGGGTCGACCAACAAATTAATTGGGGCATAACTTCGAAATCGTGGTTGGCTACAAAAAAAAAAATATATAATTAAATAATAAAAAAAATGTGCATTCATTGTTTTAGTCCTCCAAAATGGAAAAGAAAAAGGAAATTAAAATTTTGGGGCGATGTATTGACACGTTATACATTTTTTAACAAAAAATAGGTGTCCTATATATAAATATATTCCCCTGCTCACGGTGGACAGTGTCCATTAATTTGTTTTATATGAAAAACGTATTTTGAGAATATGTTTTTCAATTAAATATAATTGAAAAACATATTCTCAAAATACGTTTTTCATATAAAACAAATTAATGGACACTGTCCACCGTGGGCAAGTGAACGGGACTAGTCCTATATAATGGACATACAAAATTATTTCGATTTGTCATAACTTGGCCCGAATGATACAACTAAATCAACCCGGAGAGAATATTATATCAATCGAATAAATGAATAAGACATTGTTTTCTTATAAATATGAAATTCATGTTTATTTTCTACATACACAAACTCTTTTATTTACTAAAATATTAAAGAAATTATCAACTAGATAAATGACTTGAGCATTGAAAAGTTTACTACGTTAAGGATATGCTCTTAACGTTGTTTTACGGGTTGACTTTGTTTCTGATTTAGGCGAAACGGGTCGACCAAAAACTAATCTCGATTGGTCCGTCATTTAATCACACTACTATGAAATATCATACTTTTATCAGGTTGATAATTCATGATTTTTAAAGAATTTCGGTTGAATAAGATCTAGCAATTATCAAATCAAGAATTTCAACTTATCACTCATAAATTATTATTAAATTTCTTGCAATTGGCTGCACGGTCACATGGTACACGTAACCTGCTAGATTCTGCGTATCGTTTGCGATGTATCATGTATTTGTCTGGTTTAACTTTGTAATAATAAATTTTGATTTCATTTAAAATTATTGTCATTATATGTAGGGCTATGGAGCAACTAGCCAATTAAGAATTCTCAGATGTATTAGCACTGCATCAAAGATGCAGTCATCGATTCTCCCGAGAGTTCACAATTGCCGCGAACAAACATATTAATGACGAGGAAGGTCGTCGACCATACCCGTCGCCCGAAAATATTGTTCCATATCGAACAAGAGTGGTGGAGTGAAATCCTCACAGGGCAATTTTAGTAGGAACGGGGGGGAGCATCAGGACAGACAGTCACCGACCCCAAGCGTGAACCAAGGGGACCTTGATATACCCTAGAACAATACATTTTTGTTACCACGAGACATATTGACAGCTGATCATTCAATTGGTAATTAATTAATTAGATAACATGCTTATTATCATAACACATACTTATCGTTATTGTATTCTATAACGTAATTTAAGGGTGTCGTTGTACTGGTGCACATGTAATAATCCGACACAATATTCAATCTTTGGAAAATTTAATTTGGTGTTGCTCATCTAAAGTAAATGCAATTATTATATAACAATTAAGACTATGCTTGATTATAAGATTAGAAAATCGAGGCAAAAGTGTGCGGTCTCACGCAGATTAAGCGCATCATAAGAGGGTGAGCTTAGGTGCACCATAGTGAGGTTTAATCCCAAAACCAATTAGTGATGTGAGGAATAGCCCACTTGGCTTATATACTAGGCTCATTTTCTCTATAGAATCAATGTGGAACAACTTAGAAGTGATACTCCAACATTGATAAAACTAGTTGATAAACTAGCTTATAATTTATTAGTAATTTTTTTAGTTTATAACTTATGACTTCTAGCTGAAAAACTAGCTTATATGATAAAAGACTTTAGTAAAATTAGCTGAATAAAAAAATCAACTAGTTTATTTGAAACGCTACCTAAAGAAGCTTATCACATAAGTTCGATTTTTTTTCAAAAAAAAGTCCGACCTACCAAACGAGACTTATTTGAATACATGAAGCTTATTAGCTAATCAAATAAGATATAAGCTAGCTTATTGTTTACCAAACATAGTCTAAGTTTCTATTTGAGTTTCAAGTATCAACCACTATGGCTATGTTTAGGCTATGTTTGGTAAAATTAGCTGATAAGCTAGCTGATAGCTGATAAGCTAGCTTATAGCTTATATGTAATTTTTGAGTTTATAGCTTATAGCTTATGACTTATAGTTGAAAAGATAGCTTATATGATAAAAGATTTTTAGTAAATTAGCTGATAAGCTAGCTGAAATAAAAAAATTCAACTAGCTTATTTGAAAAGCTACCTAAAGTAGCTTATGAAATAAGCTCGGGCTTTTTAAAAAAGCTCGTCCTACCAAACGAGGCTTATTTAAAACAGGGAGCTTATAGCTAACCAAATAAGCTAAAAGCTAGCTTATTTGGCTTACCAAACATACCCTTAGTAAATAAATAAGCTAGCTTATAGCTTATTTGGTTAGCTTTTAAGCTCCCTATATTCATATAAGTCTTGTTTGGTAGGACAAAAAGCTCGAGCTTATTTGATAAACTTCTTTAGGTAGCTTTTCAAATAAGTTAATTGAATTTTTTATTCCGACTAACTTATCAGCTAATTTAACCAAACACTTTTATTATATAAGCTAGGTTTTAAGCTATAAGTTATAAGCTATAAACTATAAGCTCAAAAATTACTGATAAGCTATAAGCTAGTTTATCAGTTATCAACTGTGATCTTAGACTCAAAAAATAGCTAGTTTTACTAAATATATTTGTCTATATAGGCCGGCAATTAAACTGTGATCTTGACTCAAAAAAGCTATTTTATCTTTCATTTAACCACCCATGTCCTATATAGTGACTTCTACCCAAAAAAGCATACTAAGTGGAGTATAAGTTGAAAAAAAAAAAAAAGAAAGGCAATTATATTTTACCAAATAAATATTTAGGCAAAATTACAATATAAAATACAACTTTTATTTTAGTTGCAAATTAAGTATAAATATTCAATTTTAACTACCAAACAAACTTATGAGCTAATTACCTTCTAAACGAGTTTTGGATAGTTTAAATTACTTATAAGCCCCCCTAAACATAATGGACGTGATATAATATTAGATACTTTATATTAGCCCTAAACATATATGATTTAGCCCTAAGTATTATTTGGTTTTATTTGTTTGGCCAATTTTATAAATATTTAATTTATTTGCCTAAGTGTTTTTTCGTTCATCAATTGTCAGTTATATGATTAAAACTAGCTTTATTAGCTAAATAATATATATGTCATTTCTATTTAAACAATGGAGCCCAATTACAGGGGGTAAAGCCTTGAACTTCTAAGTCCCAGTATATTCTGGGCCGCTAAGAGAAGGCTTGAATGCCAACAGTCCATTAATTATTAACTATTATCCACTGACGCAACTTATATATTTGGGCCGCTAGTGCCCTCCTATAACTGACCCTGAGCTTGCTTTCGCTTGCAAGTCATCTCGTTGGATCATCATTTAATTGGTTAATTAATTTTAAAATTTTAAAATTATATATATGTATATTATTTTTACATATAATATACTTCAAATAAAAAAATAAGTAATTTATCTTATGCATCAAATTATTAATAATATTTACCACACATATTTATACGTAACCTTATTTTTAAAATAAATATTAAAGAAAATAAACAAATAATGATCAAGTAAATGTATCAAAACATGATCAACCAAATTCTTACCTGGTTTGAGCAGGTCCCTTAAGTTAATTACCAGTCAAAATTTCTTAACCAAATCGATCTTGACTATAAATCGACCCATCGAGCCTTTAACATTTTGAGACTAAACGAGTCAATAAACGAGCTTGAGCTCGGCCGCTTATCAATATTTTAAATTCGAGCTCAAGCCGACCTATAAAAAATTATATAAATTTTTCTTTTCGAGATTTAAGGAGTTTTTCTGCCCATTAACTAAAAAGGATTATGAATGATAGATGAGAGTTTTATTGAGCCCAGCTCACATATTATGATTTTCAGTTCAGTATTATGCTAACTATCCTATAAATTAGGCTATATGTATTGAATTTGTATCACTCTGAATTTCACAGTATACTAAAAAGTCTATCGTGCAATGACTATTACCTTGAAAAATATGCATAACTTCAAGTGATGAATTGCGTGGTAAAGTGGATACGATCAAGACTTTTTTATATTTTGTTATCGATTAAAATGATAAGTCTATATTTACTGAATTTGCATCAATTCTGAATGAGTGAGCTTTATCGAGTCGAGCTTACAAATTGTGCTTTTCAATTCAATATGTTATATATGCTAAATATCCTATAAAGTGGGCTATATGTATTAAATTTGTATCATATCAAAGTGTACTAAAAAAAGTCTGTCGTGCAATGACTTTTAGCTTGAAAAATATGTATAATTTCGAGTGGTTTACGTGGTAAAGGGGGATACGATCAAGACTTTTTATATTTAGCTATTAATTCAAATTATAGCTCTATAAATTCATACAAATCGTTCTTCCTAAAAAAAGTCCATCTCCTCCTAGATTCGGCTTGATAGGATAGCTGTTGGGCTTATTCTAGCTGATGTCTAGATGTAATCGTGTTTTTTTTGTTATAAAATCTATGGTTTCGAAAAAAAAAAAAAAGTCCATCGTGCAATGACTTTAAATTGAAACATATGTAGAATTTCAGATTAGTTATGGAGTAATTAAAGGAATACAATTTTAATTCTTACGATAGGTGGTAGTTTAACAATGTAAATAATTTATTTATTTATTTATTTATTTATTTATTTATTTATTTTTGTGTGACAAATTGTAAACAACATGCATTAATTTATTTATATAATCTACAATACATATATTAATTAGCGAGCTTTTTAATTAATACAGTTTGCCAATGTTTACTTTTGGACCTCACACAAAATTTCCACAAATAAAATTAGTTGGGACTAGACGTGGCCACGGGTCACTCGGCCCGGTCAAACCTGTTGTCCACGGGTTCGAGCTCGGCTCGGATTTCGAACGGGGCGGTCAAGGATTTTGTTTTTTTGTTTTTACCTTAACTCGGTTGGCCGGGCCGAGTCCGTGCAGCACGGAAAATATATTGCTTTTTAATTTTTTTCTTTTTTGTTTTAAACTTTTTTTATGTGGCCGAGTCCAGGCCCAGGTCGAGCCCGGCCCCGCCCGTCGGGTCGTGGACCCGGCGCGACCCTAGGTCCGTGCTGATTCAGGGTCATCGAAACCGTGACCCGGCATGATCCTAGGACCGTGGTTTAGGGTCATCGAAACCCAACCCGGTGGCCCAGTGGGCCAGGCCGTGACCCGGCCCAGGCCAAAGCCATGTCTAGTTGGGACTGCAGTACACAATGATTGATGTTGAATAGGGTTATCTTCACTCACTTTTATCAGTGTTCATAAAAATACTAGCGCATATCTCATGTAAAAGGCATGATAAAGTATTTTTATAATTATTTTTTAAAGTTAAATGTTGGATCAAACAAATATATTAATATTATTTTTTAAATTAAATATTAGACTAAACAATCATATTAAGTTATTTAAATAAAATACTGGACTAAACAAACATACTACCAAATAGTTGAAAAAATATTGGTATATATATTGTTTTGAGATCAAACACAAATTTAAATGTATTCCCTAATTGAAAATTGTTATTCATTTATCCATTTATGAATTGTCTTAAATTTTAAAAATATCATTTACTTTATCAATTAGATCAAATTAATGTAAAAGATAACTCGAGCCCTTGACGTCGGCTCGGTTCATTAAATAAAGGAGCCTGAAATTAAGCTCGAGTTCGCTTCGTTTATCACTAATAACGAGTCTATCTCGAGCTTTAACGGGTGAATTTAAGATAATGAGTAACAAAGAAAATAAATTGAGTGAATTAGTTACATTATTATGTCTTATGTTATTCCGATCCACTTCCAAATCACATATATTGACCATACGACACACAAAATCCTTGATTACAAAATTTGAAAAAAAAAAAATAAAAAAAAATTATAAATTCTTCGAAAATAATGTCCACTTGAAAACAAGTTTTTGCAACTCATTTTCCATTTCGATTATTATTATTATTTTTTTCAATCCCAATTTACAGAAAAAAAATTGATTGAAATTTTTCACACGGCCATGAGAATAGGAAAAGTACTTTCTTCGGTAATTGCAGTTTTGCTGGTTTCAAAGCTACTTGAGGCCGCGTGCTCTAATGGCGACTGTAAGGTCTGAGTATACACATATATTTTTTTTATTTTATTATTATTAACGAATTTAATTGTTCAATATGTTTTGTGGATAAATTAAATGTTCAATATGTTTGTGCATTTTGAACGGTGTATTCGCATATTTGTGCATTTTAATTTATAATATCTTCGGTTTGAAAAAAAAAAAAATTAAATTTTACCTTTGATTTTTTTTTTTTTTTA